TTTTTTAGAGAATTTCTTTTTTTATTTTTATATTTTTTTATATTTAATCATCTTCGTCCTCTTCATCCTCATCATCTTCATCGTCTTCATCTTCATCGTCATCTTCATCTTCATCTTCCTCTTCCTCCTCGTCGGCGTCGTCTTCCCCAATAGAGTTCAAACTGTTGCTGTCTATATTTGTTAAAGAGAAAACACCTAAAAGATTATCATTGGGCATTTCATCGTCATCGCCAAGAATTTGAAAAGTATCGCCATCGTCGTCAAATCCACCAATTTGAGGGTTACCAAATGGATCAATGTCTTTTTTCATACTAATAAATTTATTATCTCTATCTAATTGTTCAAAAGCTAATATATAAAAATTTGTAATAATTAATTTTTTTTTTTTTAAAATTGTAAAAAAGAATAGATTGGTAAGTTAATTGATTAAAATAAATAAATAAATTAATAAATAAATAAATAAATAATTACCTTCTCTGGTAGTTTCAACATCAATTCTTTTTTCGGGTATTAAAGAGGTTTCTTCCTTGTCAGATGGTGGTGATTGTTTTTCAATAGAATTTTGATTTTGTTGATTGTTTTGCTTAGATTGATCACGCTTGCCCCTATGTCTCATTCTATAGTCAGTCAATCCATACCTATTTTTCATTCTTTCAATACCTTCTTTGAATGATGATTCTGTAAGCCAACCATACCTTTTAAGACATAAGTTTTGAACTGGTTGTTGACTGAAATAGGCTTTGATTTTAGGTTCTTCAATATCACAAATTTGGTAAAGTGAGTTAAAATGCGATGGTGGAGTTTTAAATGTATAATCGTAACCTTCGTAACTTGATGGAATTTGTGGTGTATCGGTTTTTGATGTTTGAAATTCAAATGTATTAATTACCAAATTCTTTTTTCTAGATGGATTAACTTTTTGAGTTTGGTCACTATTAAATAAAGGTATACTTTGTATTATTGGTGGTGATGTTTGTGTATTTTTATTATCTGCACTTGTATCCATTATATTGCTTTCATTACTATTATCATTTTCGCTATTATTGTTATTGTTATTGTTATTGTTAATATTATTATTATCACTATTATTGTTATTATTTTCAGTTGAGTTTTCACCATTATTATTTTCATTATAATCATCATTATCTTTTTGAGTTTGAATTATAGTTTGGGATTGAGATTGGGAGTGAGTTGATATTGTTCGAAATGGTGAGTTTGTTTTTGATGGTGACATTAATGATGAGTTTTTGTAACCCATATTGGTTGTAAATTGTGTTTCTTGGTCAGAAATTCTAAAGTCGATAACTTGATATTGATAGGTTTCTGGATGAATTCTTGGGTCATAACCTAGTCTTACCCAACACTTTCTCCAAGGGCCATCGACATAATTGAATGCTACTGAAGGTAATAGTTTCTTTATGTGAGTTAATAAACCACCCGATTTTTGAACATTATCAATCAATACTACAGATAACCAAATTGGTCTTTTTTCAAATAGTTTTTTTAAAAGTTCTAATGTCTTTTTCATCAAATCGCTAATTTGGAATTGACTTGGTAAATTAATTGGTTTGGTTGGAATTTCTTTGAGTAATATTAAAATGAAATAGTTAATATTAGTATAATATAAATTAAAAGAGAAGATAAAAATAAGTATATACATACCACCATCAAAGTGACAGTGTGCAACAGATTTACGTATTGGTTGTTTTGAGATTAAGAATTGTTTAGTTTCTGGGTCAAATTGTGCATGTGGGTTTGATTTAAATTGATAGTTCATTGGGAAATCGACACGTGAAAATAAAGGTGGGATTAGATTCATAGGTTCATCTCTTGCCAATTCGTTATCGTTTTGAGCGTAATATTGACTTTTTTTATTTGTTTCTTTATTGTCTTTAATTAAATATTGGAAGTCGCAAAGACCGTCAAATTTAATTGTTGTTGGTACCAATGCTATAACTGATGCTTCGAATTTTTGTTTTTCATTATCATCAGGGTTTCCTTGTTGTGATTGTGAATGTTGTTGTTGTGTTGCTGACATTGGTGTTCTTGGTGATAATGGTGATATGGGTGATATTATTGATGGTGACATTGGTGTTAAAATTGGTTTTGGTGAGTCGAAATCGAGACTATCATTATTTGCTGGTGGTTGTGGTTTAATGGCTCTTATCCTTAATAAAACACTGCATGTGGGTGACTTTGTTCCAAAAGTAGGTTTGCATGTTGGGTTATTTGGTCTAAATTTTAATTGTAAATATTCTTTTTCACGTGACTTGATAACTTTGGTAATCTTTGATAAACCACCTACTGATTCAATAGCCCTATCTGGGTTTTGTACATTTGCTGGATACTCTAACCCATAATAGACTGTAGTTGGTAATGGTCTAATTAATGCTTTTTCATACCTTACATTTTCTGTTGATATTAAATTATTGTTGTTGTTATTATTATTATTATTGTTGTTATTATTACTGGTGCCTGAGTTTGGATTTGGTAATAAATCATCCATTGTGTAATTAATGACAAAATTTAAAATTAATTTAAAAAATTTTTCAATTTTTTAAAATTTTTAAAAATTAAAAAAAAAATAAAAAAAATAAAAAAAATAAATAAGAAATAAACATAATATTTGATTTTAAAAGGATTTTATTTAATTTTTAATTTAAAAGGTTTATGTACATTAAAACTATGATTTAATAGTTTTTTTTTTTTTTTTTTGGGGGACACAAAGAAGACCTAAATGTCTTTTTTAGTAAATTTGGGGTTTCTTTTTTTTGAGGGCATGTTAATGAAATGCAACCAGTTTTTTTATAACTCGGAATATTTCTTCTTGTTTAAAATTTTATTTGAGAGGGAGTTGATATTTAAACCAAGTAAAGATTGGTTTGATTTTTTGGTATTTTTTACTTCTTTGTATTTCATTTTGATAATTTTTATTTTTTTTATTTGTTTTTTTTTTTTTTAATATTTGTTAGTAATGAATGAATGTAAAAGTTAAAATGAAAAAATTAAAAAATTTTATTTATATTTATACATTTTAAATTATAATCAAAATAAAAAATAAAAAATTTCAATTTCAAGTAAATAAATCTTTATAAATTGTTTTTGAATGGAAATAATAATTATTTTAAAATATTCATTAATATTAAAATTTAACTTTATTTTAATTTAATTTTTATTTTAATACATAAAACATTTATTATAAATAATCAGGGGTAAAAAAAAGATTATTTTGGTCATTATTTTATTATTATAATTATTTTGTGAAAAAAAAAAAAAAAAAAAAAAAAATTTTTTTCAAAATATTTTAAAATAATTATTTTTTAAAAAATTTATATTTGTCATTTCTTAACGACATAAAACGGATAAATTTTATTGCAGCAATATCACAAATCTATGTTGTCAGAGTAAAAACATTAATTAATTGGAATTATTTGGAAATTTTCATTATTTATGATTTTATAAAATGATTATATAAGCAAAGTATTTTTTTTATTTTTTATTTTATTTTTTCATAAAATAACTATTATTTTTATTTTTTATTTTCATTTTATTATTTTTATACTACCAAAAATTTTTTTTATTTATATATTGAAACAAATAGAAAAAAAAAAATAAAAAAAAAAAAAAATGGAAACTAACAATTTCCAAACTATTATTAAATTTTTACTTAATCATATTTATATTAGTTCGCCATACAAACGTTTTTCATCAAGAGCCAACCACAATAATAATGAGGCAATTTCTTTAAGTTTGGTTTCAAAAGAATTCTTTCAAATAACTTCAAGAGTATTAACAAATGAAATTATTGGTTTTAAAAATTACGATATTTTAAAATCTTTAATTGACCATAACGGAAAAAAACCTTTCAAGTTAATACATAATACCATCGAATATGATCCATTAGGAAATAAACCATTCATTCTAATCAAAAAGTATCATTCATTCCAACAGTATCAAAAAGATATTTCAGAGGGTGTAACATTTGAAAGAGCTCTTGTTTGTTCCCTTGGTCATTCCGATTCAATGAAGGTTTTAAAGAAAATTTCAATTTTTCCAAATAACCATCTATTTGATTTGACAATTACCGAAGATTCACATGATTGTGTTAGAGAAATTAAAGAATTTTTACAAATTGATATACCAGAGTCATTAAATAGAGTAAATAAGGTTTTGGTTGAAGGTAATTTTAAATCTGACATCAAAACTAATAAAATTCATCACGATTTATTAAAAGGTATGTTTGTTAAATTTAAATATATAACTATAAAAACATATTATATTTATTAACACTATTTCTTTAAAGCTATTGTCAAATTAAATGCAAAAAGAGTTTGGTATAATTCCCGTGATTCAAAAGGTACCCATTATCTTTATAACTCATTGTTCTTAGATAATACAGCCACCGAGTCAATTATTTTTGAAATAGGCGACCATCAAGAACCATTCTCTCTTAATGCTATTAGGCATTTACCAAATTTAAAGAAACTATCCACCTATGTTGCATTCCATGATATCATTAGATTGGCAAATAATGTATATTCTAAAAAAACATCATGCAAAATTTTTAATGGGGTTCCCCATGGTTCGTTCGATAGTGAATCAGTTGTAGATACTTTTAACAATAATATGGTCCTCTTTAACCAACATCCAAAACTCAATCATTTTTCTTTCAAGAGCTTTTGTACCTCGGATAGTTGTCTTTCTCAAACCGACAAATCTTTGGATTTTTCAGTTATTAGTAAAGCTTTTTCAATACTTTTAAATAGTTCAAACTCTAAAGCAAAGTCATTGGATTTACAAGGTTTTAATTTCATCAATTCAGATTTTTTACAATCTGTAGCATCAAATAAAACCATAAGAGACCTATCACTAATTGGCACCAATCCAGAACCATTCTTTTTAAATGTATTCCCAACCAATAAAACTATCAGAAACTTATACTTGCAAAATCATAGCACCGAGTTTTTTAAACTTATTGGAAAGTATAGGGATAACTTCAATTTATATTCGATCACAGTTTTTACCATGGACAGTAAATCAATTCCAGACTATATAAAGTTATTAAAACTAAATTCACTACAGTTAAAAGAGTTAAAGGTAATCATCTTTAATGGAAGTAAACGTGACATGTTCCAAAGAGTAATAAACAATGTACTTTTAACAGTTTCATAACCAATTGTTGTTATAATAAAAAAAAAAAATAAAAAAATAGAATATAATAAAAATATAAAAGAGTTTTAATTATTATTGTTTTAGTTTTATTTAACCAAATTTATTTTTTAAATATTCAAGTTTCTTAAATGGTTTAATTTTGTCTTTAAACAAAGGCAATTGTTTAGTTTGATATAGGCATCCTTTTTCATACCACAGTTTAGAATTTTTATTATCACCAAGCATAAGAAATAGATATGATATACAAAAATGCGAGTAGTCCACTCTTAGACCGTCAACTGTCGAGTACTCTATATAGGTTTGATATAGCTTAATTGAATATATAGCTGAAGATTCTGCCCCATCTCCATCGATATAATATGAGTGGTAAATCTCTGCTAAATAAAAATATAGAGATTCATTGGGAAATTTCTTTTTGGAATCTAAAATGATTTTGAAATGGTCAAAACCATAATCCAATTCACCATAAAAACAATATAATTTACCAACCATAAAATGTAAATCGAGATCTCCTGGATCTTCTTTTAACTTTTTTTCAACTGTTTCTATATATAACATTTTTGGGTCAACTGCATCTCTATTACTATTGAAAGTGTCTTTTGTAAAAACCATGTTAAGTTGAGCTACTATATTTTGCTTATATTTGGAAAAATTATAATTATTAATAATTTGAATTAATTTCTTCAAATGATAAGGTTTAAAATTAATTATATAGTATTCTGGTGAAAGGTATAGTTGGTATAGTAGTTGACTTGATTCTTCGATATCTGAGTCTTTGGTTTTATCTGCTGTTTCTAAAAATTGAATAAATCTTTGGAATAGAGCTATTGCATTGATAAGCTTTGTGGCCATTTCTGATTCTTTAGACTGTTGATATAAGCGTGCTACATGATCAAAATAGTCTATTGAATTTTCCTCTAAAAAAAACCATTTCAACATTAATTTGTCTACCTTTTCAGAATGAATATACATGTATATGGACCATTTTTTAACAGGATCGAAGTCATATAGTGAATTTGGAATTTCTATATTGGTATTTTTTGATACTTCATCAATTCTATCTTTATTTTCATCTTCATTAATTTCTTTTAAATAAATTTGAGCTTTATCGAATTGAATAGCAGATTTCTTTATTAAATCCAATCCCCTTTCTTTATCCTTTGGAATAAAATCATAATAACCATTATACAGTAGCGCACCATATTTAAACATAGCCTCTGCATGTTTCTCTGCTACAGCCCTTTCAAAATAAAATATAGATTGCTCAATATCAATGTCAAGACCACCACCATATAGGAAACGTTGGGCCAAGGCCAAATCACACATTATTTCATCACTTTTTTTATAACCTGTATTATTCAAACTTGATTGGTACATTAGCGAAAGCGATACCATATGATTAGGGTTTAGAGTGTCCGGAATTCCAGTACTATAACATTCCGATAGAAAGAATAAACTTAATGGAAAATTAAAATGGGCTGTTCTTAGGAAAACTCTAAATCCTCCCTTAGGCACTATATTGAACATCACCTTTCCAGTACCCTCCATTCTTTTATATTTATTCATTTCATTTGTAACATATTCATCTATTATTCTAAAGATGATGAAGTTTACAAAAGAATTTGGTATGTTGTCGTTTTCACTATCAAGGATATTAAATTTTGTATTTTTGATAAAATTCTTTGCTTCTTGGATGAAATCTCTTTTTTTTTTTGGATCTTTAAAATTACTTCGTTGCACCAATGTTTGGATTGATTCGTTTTGAGACATTTTTACCATAAGGTTAAATTGACTTTCTATTTTGTTTTCTTTTTTTCCTTTTTTAAAATATTTAGCTACACTGAATAAACTTAAAGCGCATTCATGTTTACCCAACTTTTTCAAAACTAGACCCAATCTATAATATGCCACCGGATTGTCAACTTCTAATAGTATTGAGTTAATTGCATTTTCTTTTGCTTCATATAGAGTTGATATGTTTGGGAACTTTGTTTCGTTGGAATACTCTTCCAATAAAACATAGCTTAGGTTTGAATAAATTTGTGCCTTGTATGTAATTGGTATATCTTTTTCATCCATAACTATTCTACTAATATGAGTACTGCAACAATAGTCTTTTCTTTTCATTGATTCTACAAAAGAGTTTGAATATTCCGAAAACCTGGATAACCATTCTAAACTAATAATCTCTTCACCTATATTTGCCGTTGATAAATCTTTGGCACCTTTAAGATTATTACCAACTAAACTGTGAATTGAATTTTTTATTTTCAAATGAAAATCATTATATTGGCTTTTATCATTTAATTTAAATTCCTCAGAATTTTTAATTTCAATAACTAGATATATTTTAAATTATTATTAATGTTCATTTGTATAATATAATATTTTTATATCTTACTTTTTAAATATATTGATTTTATTTTTTCAATATGTTTATTTTGACTTAATATAAAATCTTGATTTATATTTTTATATTGAAACTTTAACAAAATAGTTGATAATAAATCTACATCCCATTTTTCCTCTAGCAAACCACTGTCTATTAATAATCTTTCTTCTGGTGATAGATTTTTATAATATTCAAACCTATCTGCTAAGAATACACCAAAACCTGGACTACTCTTCCATTGTGATTCACCACCACTTTCTCTTAACCATCTATCTTTAAATACTTGTTCTAAACAGGTTTTACCATGGTTTACCAATATGTTATATATAATAAAATAGTTTTTTAAATTGTTTATACTATCTGGGTTACTGATATAATTTACTTTTTCTTTTACAAGCTCAACTTTTACTGATTTGGCCTTCTCTGGGATTTCACCATATCCAAATTTAAGAGCAACTTTCAAATTAAAAGCAAAATGATCAAAACCTATACCTACTAACAAAGTTAATATAAACCCAAAATAATAATATAAAAATGCTACTGCTAATATATGTATACTAATTACTAATATATTTGCTCTCATCTTTATTATAGTGATTGTATAATTTATTTATTTTGATATGGATCAATAAAAATAAAAAAGGGGGAAAAAAATATTAAAAAAATTTATAAATTATAAAAAAAATATTGTGGTTAAATTTGTAAAAAGTTTTTTTTTTTTTTTTATTATTATTTTTGATTATCCATTTGTTTTAATTGTTTTATTATAGACTTATAATAAAAAGATTTATAAAAACCTATGAATATGTTTTTTAAGAAGTTGAGATTAACTATTTATAAAAATAGTATTATTCATTCTATTTTATTATAAAAACCAATATTTTTTAATATTAATTAAATAAATATAAAAAAACACAATTAAAATTCACACAAAAATAAATTGATTTAAATTTAAAAAAAATAAAAAATAAAAAATAAAAATAAATATTATGTGGTTGGTTCAAAAATTTATATGGTAAAATAATACATAAAATTACATTATTTTATATGGAAAAATAAAAATTTTTGTATTTGAATAAATTTTATTTATTTTATTTAGGAAATTATTGACACAGGAAATTGTTGATTTCTTTTCAAACAAACGACCAATAATATAATCCAACGAAATTGCATCAAATTCAGGTATGTTTTCTAAAAACTTATCTGCATCTTCATTTTTTTCATTGTACTCTCGTATTGTAGAAAGCATATTAGCTATTGCATTGCCTTGATTATTGATGGCTAAATCAGAAATCTTTCTGGAGAATGCACTGCTACCATTTTTGCACGGACAATCGCACTCACAAATTGCCTTTGCTGAAAATTTTTTTTTTTTTTTTTATTCCCGCACTTAAAATTTATACAAATAAATAACGAAAATGGAACTAATGAAAGGAACATAATAGGTGGAATAATAGCAATAGTATTAAACCTGCTTATTGAATTTCTGTTAATATTTTATTTATTTTATTTATATTTTATTTATACTATTAGCCACTCTCTGTAAAGAGTGTTTCCAGCTCTACCAGGGGAGGTTAGTATATTAGAGCCAATGGTTAATTATTTATACCTTCAGGCAGTATAAATAATTAAACACCATATTGAAAATTTGGGGTTAATTATGTATACCACCACGCAGAATACATAATTAACCGCCACATTGAAAATAGGGTAAATTTCAAAAACATAGATACCAAGCGGGCCCAACTCACTATCTATGTAATCAAAATACCTATTGGGAGTTGATTTTATGATCCTTAGTACTTGAAGTTTTGAATGGTATATAATATTTGATATTTTTTAAGGATCCATAATACTTGATATGTTTTTAATTCTAAATAATCTTTGATATGTTAAATAATCTTTGATATATTTTAATGATTCATTATAGTTTATAGTTTTATATGCTATATAATACTTGATATTTTTTAATTATCCATAATTTTTGATATATTATGAGTGTTATACAATAATTGATATATTTTAAATGATGCAATAAAATACTTATACTTGTAATTATTATACAATTAATCTTGATATTATTGAATGATTTTCCAAAATATTAGATATTTTTTTTAATATCAAACTGCATTTTCCAAAATATTTGATATTTTTTTTTTTAATATCACTGCATTTTCCAAAATTGATTTTTTTTTATTATCACATTGCATTTTCCAAAATATTTGATATATTTTTTTTATCGCGCTGCATTTTCCAAAATATTTATTTATTTATATTATTTTTTTTTATTTTTTTTATTTTTTTTTTTTTCTTTTAATTTTTTTTCAAATCAGATATAAATATTTATTAATTTTTTAAAACTTTTTTTTTTGAAATAATTTCTTTTTCTTTTTTTTATATATTTTAATAAAATTTTATAAATTAAAATTTTTTTTTTTTTTTTTTTTTTTTAATGATATACTTTAATAATCTGAAATAATTATTTTGATCCAATAAAAAGATAGCTTTAATGCTAAAAAATCCCCGATGGTTTTAATGCTAAAAAATCATTTTTATGTTTTAATTCTAAAAAATCTTTTATATGTCTTAATGCTAAAAAATCCTCGATAGCTTTAATGCTAAAAAATAGTTTGTATTTTTTAATGCTAAAAAATCCTCGATAGTTTTAATGCTTAAAAATCTTTTATATGTCTATATGCTAAAAAATCCTCGATAGTTTTAATGCTTAAAAATCTTTTATATGTCTATATGCTAAAAAATCCTCGATAGCTTTAATGCTTAAAAATCTTTTATATGTCTTTATGATAAAAAATCCTCGATAACTTTAATGCCAAAAAATCTTTTATATGCTAAAAAATTCTCGATAGCTTTAATGCTAAAAAAATCTTTTATATATTTAAATGCTAAAAAATCCTCGATAGTTTTATTGCTAAAAATCCTCGATATGTTTTGATAATTTTTTTTTTTTTTTTTTTTTTTTTTTTTTTTTTTTTTTTTTTTTTTTTTTTTTTTTAATGATATGCTTTAAAAATCTAAAATAATTATTTTGATCCAATAAAATACTTACCTTATAATCATAATACAATAAAACTTGATAATCTTGAATGATCAAACCCACTTGAATTTACCTGAATGTGTATAATGAAAAAAAAAAAAATTTATGAAATTATTTTCTTTAAATACTTTTTAGTTTTTTAAAAAAAAAATTATAAAAAAAAAAAAATTTAATTCAAAATTAATTAATTTAATTAATCTATAACTATTTCCTAATTTATTTAAAACATCAATTCCAAAATAAGT